CTCCCCTGATATATTTTTTAAAATTTTGAATTTTTCACTTTCAGCGAATACCTTCTCGATTCTCATGCTCCCCTGATACGTTTTCAAAAATTTTGAATTTTGAATTTTCAGTGAATATCTCCTTGATTTTCATGCTCCCCTGATACGTTTTCAAAAATTTTGAATTTTGAAATTTCAGTGAATATCTCCTTATTTTTCATGCTCCCCTGATACTTTTTCAAAAATTTCGAATTTTTCAATTTCAGTGAATGCCAAGTTCGTAACGCAGAAAATAACATCCACTCCGTCGTCTTGATGGACACCCCAACATTGCGTGTGGCGCTCTCCCTCTCTTGGGGTGCAGTACTACGATGCCGTTGGGGTCAGTCAAACCCCCAGAAGTGAGCCTCTACTTCAGTCAATCCTGTCTGTGTCCGCCTGTGAATGAAGTCTCATAGAAACGCCACTTCAATTTTTTTATCAACACGACTTTCGTCTTCGGAAGGGAAGCACAACGACATCTATTCGGTGATTATTTGATTACCACATAATACCAAAATCAATTGCAAATTAAAAAGCTTTTTCGCGTTTTAGGCGAAGTGAAATGGGAATCCCCTGTGTTTTTATCATATTCTTAATTTTACATTTCGAGTTTGAGTTATTTTTAATTGTAAATTTTTCATTTTTTAAAGCAAATTCATTATTGAGAGATTTATTACTGGTCTTTGATAATTATTAATAGGATTAATATTCTGGAAATTAAGGGGATTTTAAGGGAATATTAGAAAGCGGTTCTCTGGGAATTTTCAGGATAAAGTTATTATGTTGAAATAACATTGAGTAAAGAACATGCAAAACGATAAATAAGTGAATTTTTCACTGGATTGATAAGACAATAAAAACAATCATTGATGATTCCATCAGGTTTTTAACTTTATTTTCTTTATACTAATAACTAAGCCATTAGTTTTTTTTTCATCTTGCAGTTAAAATTCTCGTTGATTTTACATTAAAGACAAAAATACGATCTAATATTTACAAATGAGGTGTACAACGTAAGCACATTATTATTATTTTTAATAATTTTCCGTTATTTTTTTTCTTCGGTAATAATTTTCGCGAAAAATTAGACATTGGTATTCGTTATAACAGGACACAGTAATTTTCTTTTCGTTAATTATTATTGTTAGGAATCAAATTTTTTCCCCCTTTCGAATTTGGTATTTATATCAATGGATTTTAGTTGATTAATTTTAATTATGTCTATTTGCATTCTTAAAAGTTCTTATGAGGTCGTGAACGAGTTGAGAGTATGAAATCTATCCCGCAAAAAAATATGTTCTCTTTTCATTACGTTTTTCATTATTGGCTTTTCCTTCACTTTCACATTTGTCATTAATTCATCATCCGTGTGTCCAAATATAACGAATCAAAGTTATTCAGTTTATACTCATCATTGAAATAATAACGAACTTACAGATATATAATATATATATCAGTATTTTTTTTATCCATTTAATGGTAGTTCATTTTTCTCTTGAAAAGAGTCTAAAACACTTACTAATCAGTTTTTCTTTTTCGAAATATTAATTGGTTTCTATGTACAGATGAATATTGCCTAAGTGCTAATAGCGATGAAACACAAATACGTGGGTGTTTTTTTTTAATTGTTACATACGCAAACATTGAGGCTTGGAAAATGAAAATAACGTGTTTTCATCTCTGCCGAACAATAAAAAAAAAATAATTGATAGGACGATAATCAGAGAAATGAAATCACTCCCACATGACCTCTCACTCGAAAAATAATTATCGGTCAATTTAGATCGAAGAAGTAATAATACTTAGTTACATTGCGGATATAGAAATAAAATTTTTGTGATTGATGTAATGCTGATTACATTATCACATAAATCTTTGCACTCGGTAATTGAATTCACCATGGACAATTAATCTGCAATCAATCAAATTTCTCCACTTTAATCACTCATTCTCGCTCTCTCGCTCTTTAGTGTTAATCATGCCTTGAGTAATAAGTTTAATGGATAATTTTGCATGATACATTTATAAGTATTTCCTTCCCTACACATATGCGATAGCTATGGATATCTAGATTTAGACTCAAACGGGTAGAATGTAGGCCACACTACACGTACCAATGACAAATGTTGAATGTAATTGAATAAAAGTTTCAAATAGCAAATGTAAAAACTGAATAATCCTCGGATATTATCAGACATTATCAGATGATTAAAGCCACAATTTATGGATGAGCATTTTGGCATTACTTTCGGGAAGCTCTGATATCCAATTAATGTTTTGTTCAGTGTTAAAAACAACACACAGCGCATGAATTTGTATATTGTTCAACTGTCCATGCGAATGCACGCGTTTCATTGTAATAAAACAATTATCCACTCAGTGCATTAATCTTGACATAAACCGATGGAGCAAGTTCCATTGTTTCATTTACAGAGGAATGATCCTTTTGTTTTACTTTCATTACGATAAATTATTAATGAAGCTGATAATTAATGCGGCCACTCCCACGTTTTCTCAAAATGTTGTATCGGCACGAACGAAATAATCGATATACCATTTTTTTTTCAATCTTCTCCTCCGTCCGAATACTTCAGCTTGTCTTTAATTTCGAGAAATTACGCTAACAGGACGGCCAGGAATTCTTCCACTGTTTCATTTATTTAAAAACAATAATAATCCTGCAAATCGTCATACAGTAGACTTCCGGTTTAGTCCCGCGCATGGGGCTGTAGGGGAGACGAATTCAGAGATAAACTAAATTTTTTCATAGCGAATTCGAATAGGAGAGAAATTTAATTTTCGGTTTTATTTTGCGCAGAATTAAATTCCGCGATGGACGATACGATGGATGGTCTGCCTCTTGTAGTCTAGAGGTATTAGAGTAAACCGAAAGATACGCGAAAAAAAAAATTGAGGAGATGTGCGACTATAACGGAATTCTACTGTAGAAGCTAATTCAATACCGATCAACATGATAACCAATGGATATTCAACTAAAGAACTACAACCGAGATTCTTCTCCCTCTTTATTAATTATCTAAAATCCTCTTTGTTTAACAATTATACTGAATTACAATCAATGACGACAGAGTGATCCAGAATTTCATTAAAATCGATATTAACTCTTGTGATACGATTATCAATACAGAATCACCTCATTGGTAGTCTAATAATAAATTGAATTATTTTGTACAATTTTTAAAGTCTATCTAATAACGAATTTATCAATTGAATTTGGCTATGGTGAATTAATTTCAACGAGCTGAGTAATTTAATAAATTGGCATTGCATCGAGGATTCATGAAAATTTTGTGGATTTTCTTTGACGATTAAATTTTTGCAATTGAGAAAAAGTTATTAATTCGCATCCATCGATTACAGGAATGTTGTTTGACCCCAAATCATTAAAAATTAATAACTCGTACGTCTGTCCGTCTTTGGCTGGCGCCTAGGAGTTTCTATTGATCGAAATGATGATTTTCAATATATTGGTACCATACCACACGTACAATGTGTTTTTTTTTCATTAACAACTAATAAATCCCCGAAATTTGTGATATTCATATTTTTGGTATACAAACACCCTTGAGTTAATTTCGTTGTGATTTTATTTGAGTCATGAATGATCGAATAAGTTGACTTTTAAATCCATTAAGTTCATCGGATCAATTGTCTCGAAAAATAATAAAAGAACAATTGCTCTCTAATTTATCTCAGTGCTCATATTTTTGCAGGTGTTGCTTTTTTTTTTGTTTTAATAAAAAATATAAAATGCTCGTCGCACTTGCCTCTTGTTTTTCTTCACGAAGAAGTCATTAATTACATGGGAAAATGCTCTATATTTTTTCGCTCATCAATGAATAAGCTCAGAGATCATCGAAGCGGTGTACAAATCATGATTTTCAGCGTGCAAAGATCATTCGAGTGAATATTGTCGTAAAACATCTCTCGTACTTCCGAAAGAAGAAGAATCTACTCATAATTGTGATCGAACTGACCAATTAAATCTACAACTATACAATGATTCTTTGAAAGGTGATGAAACAATTCCATTCTTATAGCATGTTGACTCCATTCTACAAACACTCATTGAGCGCTTCAATTATCAATCCAATGAAAAGATTTGTTTAGAAAAAACACAAATACGCCACTTTTGTTGCACTGATCAGTGATGTTATCTCAACGTACTTCATTCAAGGAAACATTTATTTGCGGGTTGTTCTTTCTTCTTTACAATAATCAACTTAAAAAAGAAAAGTGACAAGTGAACACAATCAACAAAAGAAGATATCCAACTTGCAAATCATGTTTAATCTGTGAAGAATGACACGAAAGTTATGGATCGAATGATTTTAATTTCAGTTAACAATTGCTGGAGTATGTGCAAGCACGTATTGTTTTTCATAAAGAAATAACTCGGATTGAATGTTTCTTTGTTTATTATCATTATAATTTTATAAGAGCTTTTAAGCATTCATATAGGAGTTTTAATCGTATATCATTAGGGGAATCGTGAACTGTGTCTTTGAGTGGTCTTCAATAATACTTTGCGCATTTGAATCGCAGGGAGAAAACGAATAAAATGTTGCTGATATGTGTTGAAGGCCAAAGATCACGATTCATTTATTCAAAACAGACGAGATGTTTTATATAATTTTTATTTATCGATTCGAACCTATTTATCGTTCAAATGTCGATGGAGAACAAGGTAACTGATGATAATTTTATGTGAAGGATAAGTAGGAGAAACATAAAATTATAGGTAATAAATAAAGAGAATTCTAATAGTCGAATTGTTCTCGATGAAATTACACTACACGAGGACAGTAATATATACATATTTTGCTTTGTTTTTTTTTTTCTTCATTTCGTTACGCAGGTAAGAGATATAGTACAGTACAGTTAGTAATAGTTAGAGTATGTGTAGAGTAAGCTAAAACGTATCATAACGGTTCTTTTAATTCCATTTCTTTGTTATCATTTTTTTGGGCGTTAATAATCTAACAAACGTCTTCATCTACGAATGCTTTTTCACCCGTTGCTTTTGGGTATAAACTTGGGACTACGAGTTACAATTGCCTTTTTTATTCCTCAACTCTAGGCCCAATTGCGCAAAAAATTTGGACGGGGATTATTCATTTGAAATTTAAACTCCACTTCGTCAATTGTCTCATCGTATTTTCACCTGGGAAGGATTGGCGGCAATAGGGGGACGAAAAAGTAGCTAACAGGTAATATATTTGAGATTTGATTTAATCATAACTACCATAAGAGATCCAATGTCCATTTCCTCAGCAATTTTAGTTTTTCCTCACCATCTGTTACACTGAATCACTAAACTCTCAAAGTGGCGTTGTAATTACTCAATTTTCCATATCATCATCTTGTTTCACTAAATTCATGATAATAAAGTCTATAGTATGAGAGTTCAACTGCTTGTCAACGTGTCTCATACCAATTTTAATATATTTATATATATTTATATATAATTTTAATAATAGTATGTATATAATATTTACTACCTGCATATCACAACATAAATTTATTCATTTTTCATCAATCTCGCTCAAAACACATGCACTCCTGTTATTTTTTTTTGTCATTTTCTTTGAAATCATTATTTTTTTTCTCAATTGATTTACTTAATCTTTTATTTGTCACAGTCTCACACACATTTTCCGGTCTACAATAATTATAATAACGCTGCGATAGTTGGATAGTGATTGAGACTTTAAGCACTGTAGCATTTTATTTTCTCTCCTTTGTCTCGTTTGTTTTATTATTCAGAGAGCATTTCTGTGCAGAGGGGAAGAGTAGGAGCAATGAATACTACATGATATTAATTTATTATCCCCTGCATGCGCTGTTTTTCGTTTGGTAATGAAATTTATTTATTTCCATCGTTAAAATTATCTCGGTAAATTTTTTTATTTGTACGCCGTAGTCATGCACCAGGAGGTCAATGAACTTTTGAATTACAAAAGGCATTTGAAACATATTAATGGACTCGTGGTGCGTCTAGCGGCACTCAGTTATTCTTTTTCAAGCGAGAATGAGGCGTATCTCGGATGTACTTTGATGCCAAATGCATGTTTTTTCTTGTTATTCGTCATTATTTCACGGCTATATATCTCATGAATTATTGACAACAATGAGTCACACGTGGCGATGTAATTCCCCTCATTGGGCATAACTGGCAATCCGTCGATTCGAGATGTCTAGAGACAAATTAATATAAAGTTTGGCTCTGACGCTAGTCTTTATTCATTTCATAATCATCTGATTATCGATAATTCAGTGGTCATAGCTTTAATCTGGATTACGGAAACTCGTCTCGACGGTGTAGTCAACACCATTAAATCGGTTTGTTACTTTTATTTTTTCCAACAATAAATCTAATGTCTAGTAGAAAATATGCATTGGCTCAATTTTCATCTCACGTGGCTGGTTATTCAATTGGTTTTCATTACTTATCCACCAATTATCAGTTATGGTGAATTTCCAGAATGCTTGATTTTTATACTTCATTTTATTTAGCTACACTGCTCATAAGCTCTCAGCCACTAACGATTATACATCAGCCATAAAATCTTAGAAACCGTGGCCCAGCTTGGATTTCTCATTGTCTCACATGTATTAATTATGATCTCGTGGTAATCCAAGGCGGCCAATGTTTAGAGTATGCAGCATGATGCTGAGCAGCAACTACTACCGCCTCCTTTACTTTTTTGTCTCTCGTCTGCAACAGATTCAATTTATTCCATCAGAATTACACTTGTTGTTTCAATATTCACGTAATCCATAACAGAATCATGAATGGAGATCAATTTTTTATTAATTCTCGAGAAGTTGGAGAAATCGGAGAAATTGTTGGTTAATTATTTTTTGTATTGATCTTTGGTACCCCAGCAAGTGCTCGATGCCAATGTAAAATTATTTTTTTTATAACAAATTAATGAAGAAGAAAGAAATAGCGGATTGTTTACATCTTGGAGCCTGGAGGTAGTAGAGTGAGGAAATTCAAATATCCACGGAAAAATAATAATGCATTCGCAAATTTGGAACTATCAGACTCCAGGAAATGAAAACAAAAACAAACAGATCAGTTAAATTCTCTCTCTATCTTATATCTGTAATGCAAAAATTCTCCCTTGTCCTTCTCGCCACTATTTTCGTCTTATCTCCATTTATCATTCCACTATTGAATTGTTCAATTGAGATAGATTGATATCTATCACTGGATTTGTGAAGGATTTGGGTGAAGGACGGCTGGGTAACTCACAGATGACAAGAACTTTGCAAAAATATTAACAATTTAATGGTCTTGCGGGACGTGCATGTATTCGCCATGGGGAAGAATACCTGGGGAATTCAATAAATATATTTAGTTTGCGAGGTCATACCAAAATTTCAGGGAAAATTCGGGGCAAAATGAGACTAAAATGAAATTCTGTGTAATTCCCGCATTTAAAATGACGATTCAAGATTTTTGTACGGAGAATTTCTTTTTCATTTCATTTTAAAATCCATTTCATGTGAAATTCTAGATTAATGAAGAAATAAAGAACGCAATGACTCATTTTTTCAGGTGATTTTTTAAATACATACCTTGTGAATTAGGCTCGGGCAGGTTTTCTCGGGGTACCAGATGCATAACTGTTGTTTTTCCAAAAGGAAGACCGAGTGCATCGAGCCTAACATTGCTGTGTAGAAAACGTCCCTGATAAATTAGCCGGAGAATTTCAGCCTTGGCAACTGCCTCCTCCGTCCAGTCTGCAATGAAAAAAAAAAAAGAAAATTATGAGAGTCATAAGGAAAAAATATAACAACTTTTTCCCCCTTTTTCTTTTTGATCTACATTCTCCCCCTCACTTCCGCACTGGAAAAATATATCCTATTTCATACGGTGGCTCAATCCTCCCTATCCAACGAACAGACATTGCACTCGAGATAAAAGTTCACTTCAAGACCACTGAGAAACTTCCTTGAAGAGCGTGAAAGTGCTTCCTACATGAGATACACTCGGTGGATATAATAGGCCGGGGGGAAAAGAATGAGCTAAAATAATATTTTGTGGGAAACTTGCGCTGGTAGTTGGGGTAATTAGAGATTAATGGAAATTCAGGTATTGCAACGCGTGCAGCAGCGAAACGAACCGTTACATATGGAGATTATTATCGCACTGGAGATTCTCGGGATTACAATTTTCGACGTTGCAATGAGAAAAAATCGAGGAGAGAAAACGGAATGACGAAAGACAGCACGTGTGGTAATGCGAGTTAAATTCGGAGATTATTAAACATTTTTTGATTCCTGTTCTCTCTGTACAGATCTGAAAATTTTATATATTCTTAATTATTACTCGAAAACAAAACGGGCAATCGAATCAATTTTTTTTGGCTGTATTCAATGATTCGGTTTCTACGACCAATAATTTTTATTCGGAAAAATATCAAACCGTTGATTTTTTAATAATTTTAATCCGTAAGCCTCCATTTTAACAGGTGAAGAGGTACCGAAGTTCCGAAAATTCTAAACTGATTTAACTATTAACAATAATAATTTAAACTACAGAGTAAATATACCCGACAACTTTGAGTGAATGATCGATAATGGGATAATTAGTGCGAATTAGTAGTTAATTTGAAGGATTAAAGTTGCGATGGTGGAGCAACTATTTTGTTCATAAATATTCCTTGACAATAATTCAGAAAATCAGATAATGCCGAGACCGCACTAGACAATAAACGGATTACTCTCTGCAGGATGAAACTTCCCGGTCTGTCCCATTAAATTAGGTGAAACAAGTGGACAAGTACTAAAGCAAGAGTGAAGTTATAAATTAGGACATACCTTCAGGCCAGTTCTCAAACACATGATGAGCTATGTCCCCCACAGAGTCACTTGGACTGAATAGGAATTCTTTTGTCTTACCACTCACAAGGATGAGGCGTAGGTTTATCTGAAATCAGATAAAGAAAATACGAAAATTTAATTAAAGCTCATTCTCCATCTCCACTCGGAACTTTTTCATTCCAATTATTATTTCATCTCTCTTCATGAAATGAAGCCACTGAATGCATCGTGTATGTATGAATTGTTGTGCCTGAATGTAACGCAAAAACGTGACTACTGGGTCATTCGCCAATTCACTCTGAGCCGCAAATGCAACGACCAATGTACACGCGTGCTCTTCAAGTTTGCATGAAAATTCTAGCTCCCGCTATTTTGAGATTTTCCCGGCGTCTTTCAATCCTCAAATCCCCTGGGGTTAACATTCGCCGTTTTCTCGAGGAATAAATTCCCGATAAATTACCCATGAGTTACGTAATTTTTCACATCAATCGCAAAATGCACCTGAAAAATTACCGACACCTGTCGTGTGATGGGAAGATACGGTAAACTCTCGCGGAAAGCCCTTCTCATTCCAAAGGAGTCCTTTTTCATTTTTATTTTTTTTCTGAATATTAATAACAATTTTTAGTAAATTTTTATAGAAGCCCCTTTTAATCTCGAATGAATCGCACGTGCGGACGATCTCGTAAAAACAAAAATGGTAGACTAATCGAATTCGCGGGGTTATGTCACATCACTCTATACACCGGATACCAAATTCAAAACCGTATAAGTTTTTATGAATGTCGCCACGTAGCCTCGACGTTCCGCATCGTACAGTTGAAATCGGCTGTGAAAATTCCGGAGAATTTCCCTCATAAATTTCCCCCGCGCTGCATAATTCTCACCATAAATTTTACGACTCCGTAATTTCCGGTGCGATTACAGGGCCTGTAATCACGAGTTCAAAGCGACTGTAATTAGCGGTGAAAAAAAAAAAACTTGGCAATGAATAGGCGCCCCCCGAAAAACTTCCAACTCTCTCATTCTCTCGTGAATGCGAAATGGACGTTCATGAGTACATGATTGAGATCAAAGGGTTCTCGTCAATTGAAAGCCAAAATGTGCTTATCAATTCGAATCAGTTGGCCAATTACTGGAAATACTGTGACCCATCGATTTGGACAGAAGAATTCGTGGATTTCTCCAATTATATTCGATCCGCTGGTGAATTTCAATGAAACATAATAAGAGTCCATCGGAATAACCAGCATTTGAAAGGATCATGGATTTTCCAAAGGATTATTATTCAAAAATTTTATCATCCGAAAATAGAAGAGTGCGCGAATATTTTCAAGTATTCGCCCGTTTATTCCTGAAATGAACTCGCGTTCAGATATCGGGACAATCGTAAAAATTATGGATGATTTCGGATTATAATTTATCGAGGAATACCCGGATTGTCGACCACTATGTAAAATTCGAAGACGTCGACTTAAGACTCTAAATCCGTAGCAGATTCGCTCCATGAATTATAAAGAAATCATTCAAAAATATCCGTCTCGCGGTATCTGAATTAATGGAAGAGTGCATAAACCTGTGGTCCAGCGTCCCCTGAAAATCCGAAGCCAAATAAATAAATAAACAAACCAAAAAGGCAATGCCATCCGTTACGATAGTCTAATCACCCTCGCAATATTCTCTCCTAGAAATCCCGGGAAAAAAGCCATTCGGAATAAATTTCCATTAATGTACTATACGAAACGTCAATGTTTTTAAACCCAAAAAGATGAGTATCGAATCCCATTAAAATCTCTGCTTTCCCCATATCGATTACCTGCAAATTCCCCTCCCCATGACACATGTATTCCGTGACAATTTCATACAGCCGTGTACATAGCGCACTGGCATAAAAAGCATAGAGTCAGTCCCGAAGGTTCTCTCGTATTTTTTGTTTCTACAACTAAAAAAAAAAAGCAGGTGGGAATGAAGACTGAATCAACTTCTTTCTCTTACAGTTTTCCACCGCATTCACCCGCTGCTGTAATACTGTTGCCAGTCGTCCTGGGATCACGATTCTCTAAACGGTACATTCGCACAGCGTGTCGAATAAAACGTACAGTATGAAAGGCGTTGGTGGAAAATAAAAGAAAACACGGGAGTAAGTTCAAACGCATACATACACCCGTCACGTTATTCTCTCAGTGCCGGTAGTATAACTTATGCTGTGACTTTTAACGTTACCGGGTCGTAAAGAGCTTCACGGTTCTTCACATAAATACATAAGGTAAATGTGTGTATACAGGTAGTTGTGGGGAAAAAGGTATTGTCAAGATGCCTCACACCTATTCTGCCACTTCCCCGCACCAACCTTGTCGCTAGCCTTCCCCTAGTCTTTCCCTAGCCTCGCCCTGGCCTGTCCCTAGACTGCTCCTGCCTTGACGCTACCCTGTCGCAAGCTTGCGCCGTGCCCGCACTCACGCTTGGTAAACCACCGGCGCTCCTGTATTCCGATGATTAGGAAACTTCTGTAATTGGGTTTTCGTTACGGCATTGAACGCAAACCAAGCGAATTTTATGGGCTTTTGAGAGTACCGTAAAATTTACTGAGTTATATACATATCGATGCGGCCGATTAAACCCGGTATTTCGTGTTTGAGAAAATCGTGGAGCTGTTGAAGGTAATATTTCGATTGAGGGCTAACTGAAACTACACCAGAAATTGTTGCTCATGGTTATACAATGTTCGTTATAAGGTACTCAGGATGGATTTATGGGTAATTAATCGAGGTTAATTGCACTTTTATGTCTTTTTTGGGGGTCGGTGAACGCATTTTCAACGAAAAAAATTCACTTAAAATTTGACAGCAGCCAGTGGTGATTATTCCATCTGATTAATACTAAGAATATTTCATTGAAAATTTGTTATTCAAATTATTGTCGTTAAAACGAATTACGAGCTATATACATGGGCCAGTTTAATATATGGAATATATATCTCTTAAAGATTTTCATGTGTGAGCGACCAACACCTCAGGTGTTATTATTATTATCAAAGTTCTATTTACTCAAACTAGTAAAAAGTGAATGGAATTTCATGGAAAGTTTAATACTAATCTCCCGGAGAGCAGCCACAAGTTCAGGGTAGAAATCTCATGAAATTTAAATTCTCCGGAAAATCCATGGGAATTTCACATTTTTAATGCACAACAAGCCAGGAGCTCCACAACTTACTTAAACTTGCAATCGAAACATGAATGTTCAGTGCTGTACAGCCTATTCCCCCGAATTTTCTCGGTTCCTCAAATTCCCATGGTAAAATTCACCTTGAATCTGATTTCGATTAATTTTATCGTTGAATTATAAATTTTTGTTGTAACTGTCAGCAGGAATTTGGATGTGCAGTGGAAATTCTGACAATAAAATTCAACGCGGGGGAGAATTTACGGGAAAGAAGAAATACAACGAAATTACGGAGAGGTACAGGAGACAGTTTGAGGATTGAAGAGATGTTTCCTTCCTCCTGGAGGTTTATCGCTGGTTCATGTACCAACGGTGACATACAGATGTTAATCAATCACGACTGTGGGTGAATCATCTTTTAAATGTCAGGAAGAAAAGGAAAATCTGGGTCGAGTATGAGGTTCGGTAAGTTGGTCGACTAATCATCATCAGTAGCACAACTTTTTCTCACTCGGACTTCTTTCTTCCCTGCCAACGGGGTTTCAGGCCCAAGGCGTCAGTTATAATGTCATATACTATAAATGGTGCAACGTGTTTGTACTACATTTTCTGGGTCAAATGAGGATTATTTAATAAAGCGCGGAAATTACAGAATCGGAAAACCGTAAAATACAACAAAGATCTCGACATTTACAAATTAAAAAAATCGCTAATTACGATTCCAAAAGCATAAATTATGTTATCAAATCTTGTGGGTATAAAAAAATCATTAAAGCTGAATTGAAGTTTAACCTGAACCCCCAATTGTCTGAAATTCTGAAGATAATTGAATAATTCAATAATTTTTAATTGAAAAATTGACTGATTGAATGCGAAATTAAAATTAATTTAATAGTGTAATTGTAAAGACTGGGAGTCAGTGAATGATGGTTTGGCTCAGCAAAATGGCTCTGCCAAACGGCTTTGACAACAGAGCTGGGGTCATAATGCATCAGTTTTGTCATGGCGATGGTTATACTGATATCTAGCCCTGACCCGATAATCGATATGAGCTCCAATCGCTCAGATGAGACGAAGCTTGGAGGTAACAGTGAGGACAGGGCTTCGGAGTAATAATTTGCGAGTGTACATGCATCAGTGAGTTGCAGTGGCATTATCGATGATATTCAGAACAATAATGCCTGTCGGCATTGATGTTGAGACCTGTGACACGAGAGTTTCCTAGTGTAGGTCTTTTGTCGATGGATCCAATTCTGGGAGAAAACTGGGACATGGTTTTGACAAGTACTCCGGAGAGAGTTCTTACTCGAGTTTTTGAGTAAAGAAAGTTGGAGGATTATTCCAATGGAATAGGTACATCTCGAGATTCTATGAATATTGTTAGGACTCTTTGTACTATCAATGGACTTTTCATGCATTCAACATGGAGATAGGCTCTTTCTGGGATTATCCATTTATTTCTTCAGCTTCAAGTACGAGTTTCCGCTCAAGATAATGGAATTTCAGTACCCTGTGGTCATCTCATCAATCATTTCCAAATCTTTTCAAAACCTTCTCTTCTTCGTGTTAAAATACCGGATTTTATCACCTCTTGATGTAATTTTGCGCATTGAATTTACTGGAGATGTTGCAATTCAGTAGTTTCAATTTTTTGCCAGTATCTCGAGATTGAAGAAACATAGCGAATTTTTCGTGTCAACATTTTTTCCAGAAAAAGATGAGAGCTACAAAAAAGGTATCTACCGAAATATCGGTAGGATCCTTCGATTTCGAGAAATCTGGCGGAAACTGGACTCGACAGAAATACCACTTCGCCACGGAATTACTCGAGATTTAGTGGTGATTACGATTATTGGCCATTTCCGTAATACAGTTGTGAATACTCACGGGTAAATATTGTCCCCGGACTCTAAGAATTTTCTCGTCTTCAATGAAACAGTATTG